GATGTTAAGAAATCTTGAGCCACGTCTTCATTTTTGACATTTTGTGGAAGGTTGAAGGTTTCTTGGGAGTGGCTACCTGCTTGTCCAGAGTAGCAAATGCAGGAGAAGGCCCACAAGTGGGAGGCCGCAAATCAGGATGACTCATTGCACCGGATTCTTCTTCTTTCCTGGGAATTGAGGAAAGAGATAGGAAGTGGGAGAAGGACAGAGGGGAAAGAGCTTCTGGGTGCAAACACAGTGTTGATCTTCAGGAGGGGGTCTGGTGTCTTGAATCTGTCCTGGGGATGGCTTTCTTCAGCTTGGCAATTTCAGACAGGTTCAATTACAACTCCCAGGATTCTCAGCAGAGCTTTGATTACATCATCGGGGATGCTTCTGACCTATGGGCATCTCATCCACGGGAGTTCTTGGAACTGCAATCAACACAGCTGTGGGATGATGGAACGGAGAAGAGGGCTCCCGTGGGATTTGCGGACTGGATTCAGGCCTTCCTACTTGAAAGGAGCCTCCAAATGAAGAGATGAAGGACAGGAACGTGACCTTTAGGACATAATAGGATTAACCCACCACCTTTAAAAAACCCCAAAAGGGCACACTCAAGCCAGGTGTAAGTACATTGCACAGGGACAGGAAGAACCTCAAATACAAAGCCCAAAGAAGGTATAAAAGCCCACCATTCCCAGCTCCATTTTGTCAGCCACCCAGAAACATGCTGTGTCACTGAAGTTTCGGGTAAGTAAATAAACAAGAATCTTCTTTCCAAACAGCCTCCATTTTATTTATTCCCAGCTTGGACTGGACCTTATGATTTTTCTTTCAACAGGACAAACTTGATTCAGCAGATACATATCTTCCTAGCTGCTTCTTTGATGTTCTGAAAACCAAAATGGCATTTTCTCAGTATACCTCGAAATCCTGCAAAATGATGGCCTAAGCCAGGGGTCTGCAACCTTAAACACTCAAAGAGCCACTTGGACTCGTTTCCCAGAGGAAAAAAAAACACTGGGAGCAGCAAAACTTGCAAGCGCAGGTGCACAGGCATGAGGGGCGGAGCTTGTTTGAAGGGTTTAATTAAAAATAAAATAGAGGCTGCTGTGCATGAGTTCTCTCTCTCTTTCTCTGTTTCCTCTCTCTCTCTTTCTCTTTCTCTCTTTCTCTCTCTCTCTCTCTTTCCTCTCCCTCTCCCTCTTTCCTCTCGCTCTCTCTTTCTCTCTCTCCCTCTCTTTCTCCCTCTCTCCTCTCCCCCTTTCTTTCTTTCTCTCTCTCTCCCTCCCTCTCTCCCTCTCTTTTCTCTCTCTTTCTCTCCCTCTCTCCCCCCCTCTCTCTTTTTCTCTCTCTCACTACACTACATCCACATGGAGAGAAGTAAGCAGTGGGGTACCACAATGTTCCGTCTTAGGCTCAGGACTCTTCAATATCTTCATCAATGACTTAGATGAGAGAACAGTCAAGTGACTCGTCTGTCTTTTTAGCTACACTTCGAGGTAGATGGACTCGCATGGAAGGATGCTCATTTTCATTGCCCTTCCTTCCCCTACTCCCACAAAACACACCCAGGCCCCACAGCTTCCAAAAATAAGCCATAAATACAAGATGTTTTATATAAATGAAATCAATAAAATATGAATAAAAAATGAAAAAAAATTCTGCATTTGAAAACTTGCATTCTTTAATGACCATTAATGGCATTACAGGAAGTGCTGGGGTGTCAGAAAAATCAGGATGGCAGCCGCTGGCAGCCGCACAATCAGGTTTCACTACATATCCAGGAGAGGATGGGGGACGGTGGCAGATAGAAAGGGGGTGGGGGACTTGATACCTAGTTTGCCGGGCGAGTCTGGCCACGGCTGGAACCGGAACCGAGCACCCGAATGGGCCAAGCAGTCGGGAGCCCACCGCCGGCAGGAGAGGAGAAGAGAGGAGAGGAGCCAGGAGCTGGGCCGGGAGCCGAGGGGTCCCCAGGAGAGGCCTCGGGGGAGCAGAGAGCGCCGAGGCAGCAAGGCGGAGGGAGCGGGTGGCGGAACTGGGGGACGGGGCTGGGTAGAGGGTCTCGGGGGCAGGCAGAAGCTCCTGCTGCTCCAGAGCCTCTCGGGGGGAGCAAGAGAAGGACGACATCCAGCTGTAAGTACTCTATTGCTCGCCTGCATTATATATGCCAACGTTAAAAAAACATTCTGCTACAACACACCTCCAGTAACTCAAAAAGCCCTAATACCCCACTTTTCTCCTGCACCCTATATGTTCACAGTTTGAGAAATACATTTATTTAGAACAAACCTCGAGATACTAAAAATGCCCTAATATATTCCTACACTCTATTTTCAATGCATATGTCCACTTTAAAAAAAAGACTAAAACAAATCTTCAATAACTATACTACTTTTGTAATGCATTATATATCTCTACTGCATATATAATATCTAAAGTATGAAATGAAAAAAAAATCCTAAACCCCCCTATATATGCCGATATTTCTCTCCTTTATTATATGTCTCCACTTTTTAAAAAGCTTGTTTGGTTAAAACATAGCTCAAGTGCCTTAACAAGCCCTAATAGATAGCTAAACTCTACACCTGTAACGTATTATATATATGTCCATTTTGATTAAAAGAAAACCCTGGAAAATGAAACGATGAAGGACCGAGCAAAAACAATAAGACACAGAAAAATTAAAGATATCATGAGATACCAGAATGGTTGCTCAAAGAGCCCTCCGAGAAGTACAATATGGTCAGGTAGAAAAAAATGGAAAGAAGGGCACATAAGTAAAGCAGAATACCAGCGAGTAGACTGAATTTGCAAGGACGGACTCGGAATAGCAAAGGCCTGGAATGGGCAAAGACTGGCAACAAAGGCCAAAAATAATAAAGGAAAATTTTACGTAAGGAACAAGAAGAAAGTCAAGAAAGTCAATAGGTCCACTAATGGGAGCAGAAGGCAGGAAGGAGACAGGCAGCAGGGTGAATTCAGAAATGCTTAACTCCTTTCCATCTCTTTTTCAGCAAAAGAAAAAAAAACAGCCTATCAACAGCAACACCGAGGGAGATAGAATCTATGTACAATTCCAAATAGGCACGAAATTAGTCAAAGAGGACCAATCCACTCTGGATGGGTAGAAATCACGCCGACCAGATGGTTTGCCTCCCAGGCATCCAAAGGAGCTGGCAGACCTAATTTTGGGGTCACCAAATATAATTTCTGAATGCTCCTGCAGCCCAGGGGAGCTCTCAGAGAACTGGAAAAAGAGCTTGACATCAATTCCTGGGAAAATCCTGGAATAGAGAATCAAGTGGTGGATCCTCAGGGGGCTGACTAGCCGCACCCAGCATTTATTCCTTAATGGAGCTACCGGTACATCTACAAGAAGGGAAGCATTCAGTGGGGTACCTCAGGGATCTGCCTTCGGCCTAGGACTCTTCCACATCTTCATCAATGATCTAGATGAGGGGATAGAAGGAGAACTCACCAAATGTGCAGAGGACATCAAGATTGTTGGAAGATAGGCTCAACATCTAAGAGGATCTTGACAGACCTGAACAGGATGCAGTTCATTGGTGAGAAAAGTACAGTTCTTCCTTAGGCAGGAAAATCAATTGCACAGGCACAGAATGGGCGGTACCTGGCTCAGCAGGGATAACTGTGAGACGGATCTAGAGGAAAACCACTTAAGGATCAGCCAGATGTGTGCTGCAGCTGTCAACACAGGCCAATGCAGTCTTAGGCAGCAATAAAAGAGGGGCAGTTTCAAGATCGCCAGAAGTGCTGGTACTGCTTTATATCGCACTGGTGAGACCACCTTGGAATATTGTATCCAATTCTGGTCAGCCCGATAGAAAACATTGTTGAGACTGCAGAAAGTTTGAAGAGAAGAGCAACAAAGATCATTTAAGAGCTGGAGGCTAAATCGTTTCATGAACGGTTCAGGGAGTTCGCTATGTGTAACTTATCGAAGATGATAAGGATCGGGCAGACACAACAGCAGTCTTCCACACTGTTAGGGTCTGTCTCAAAGGACAGGGAGTGACTTAAGAACTGCAGAGCAGGAAAAAAGACAAGGGTGGATGTTGAAAGGGAGACCCAACCAAGAAGTCAGGAGAAATTTTGAGACAGTAAGAAGTTGTGAGTGCTCCATCACTGGAAGTTTTCAAAAATGGACAAGCAAACCATTTGACTGGGATGGCAGAAAGTTCCTGCCTTGAGCAGACGGTTGGAGTAGAAGACCTCCAAAGTCCCTTCCAGCCCTATGAATCAATCTCTTATGTTCTACCACCCCTAAGACTACTTGACCACCCACAAGCCACTGACCACCCCCGGCTTCTCCCTTCTGTTGCCACTCTCTTGCAGGCTCTGGAGCAGCAGGAATGTCTGCCTGCCCCCGAGACCCTCAGCCCAGCCCTGTCTTCCAGCTCTGCCACCAGCTCCATCAGCCTTGCGGCCTCCGGGAGTCTCTGCTGCCTCGTGGCGTCTCCTGCGGACCCCTCGGCTCCCAGTTCGGCTTCTAGCTGTTCTCCTCTCTGCTCCTCTCCTGTGGGCTGCTGGGATGCCAGCTGCTCGGCTCATTCAGCCACTCGGTTCTGGGTTCCAGATCCTGTTCTGGCCAGACTTTCTGCTCTGCCCACCGCAGAGCCCTCACCCTGTCCCTGGTGGCCCTCATCCTCAGCTGGAACTCTGAGGCTTGGAGAGGAGCCTGTGGACTCACCCTACCAAGTTCACCTCCAGGCTCCTTTTTGGCTCGGAGCCCTGGGATTCCCCATCCCTCGGAGGCCCTGATGCTCGGTGGCTGTGAGGTGTTCAGCTCAGCTGACAGCCCTGCAGTGATTGGGAGGGCGAGGGTGAAGGTGTTGCTTCAGCTGGTAGGGGGGGGGGCTCGCCTGGCTCCCCGGCACACTAAGTGGCAAGTCAGGGGAAGGGAGGGGAAGGGAGTGAAAGGGTAAAAGGCTAGCGTTCCTCCATTCCAGCTATGGGGAGAGAGGGTCAGCGAGTTGTCCCATGTTCTGGTCGCTTAGGAGCGCCAAAACCATTTCTGAAGAAGGCCACTTGGCTGGGGACCTCCCTGTGGAGATCTTCACTGTCTTTCTCGAAACACCTGGTCTGCAGCTCTAATTCTTGCATTGTCATTTTGACATGGTTCAGTCCTTCTCCGTTGTCCTCCTCGGCTTTCCACAGGTCTCCAACTGTAGCCTGGGAAGCATAGCTCTGCGGCGGCTGCTGTTGCTGCTGTAGATTGTTGACTTGCTTCTTTTTTTCCCTCAAATTCTGCTGAAGAGGACTGACTTTCTGCATCAGTTGGCTGGAGTGGCTTTTCTCCACATAGTAACTTTGGCCCGTCTCAACCTGTTCATGCTGCAGACTTTAGAGGTGCTTCTTCAGTTCTTAAGAAGGTTCCAGACTTCTTCGAGACCTCTTCTCAAAGGTTCTAAGGCAGCCTTCTCATATTTGAGAAAGGCCGCTTGGCTGCTGACCTGCAGCGTTCTTTGTGCAGTTCTTCAGTGTGTTTCACCAAATATTTGATCTTTAGCCCTCGCTGAGGGATCATGGTGGTGGCACGCTCCAACCTTTCTCTTTTGTCCAGCAGTTTTCTGCCACTTTTTTGTTGTGCTCTTTAGTTGATCGACCGTCTTCTTGAGGCAAGTGTGCTGCTCTTTCATCCATTGTTTGTCTCTTGAATTCCTGGGTCTGAAGGTCAAAGGCATCTCTTGACTGCTTAACCATCACTGGCCACAGAGAGATAGCCCAGGGATATTCACTTTAGGGCCGTTTCTTCCCTGTTGCTGACCTGTCTGAAGAAATGGAGAGACACAGTCACATCCTCCCTCCGTTCAGGGGCCATTTTGCTAACTGGCCTAAAAGTGGCCCTTTTTGGGAAACATGGACATAATGCATCGATCATGACCTCCCTTCTAACTGTCCCAAGTTCCCATTTGATTCTGACTTCTTTTCAAGACAAATCACCTCTCAAAAGAGTGCAAAGGAGTCGGCATCAGCAATCGATCAGTTTGGCCATCTCTGGCCCTACTAGGTTGCTTCTGGTGACCGTAAGAAGCGAATTAGGAAAGAAGCCTCCGCTCCAAGTACTGACCAGGGCCATCCAAGGCACAACAGTCTGCTGGGTGACCTTGAGCCAGTCTCCCTCTCTCAGTCTTAGCCTACCTCACAAGCTTGTTGTTGTAGGGACGAAGGAGTCTTCGGTATGTTCACTGCCTTGAGCTATTTAGGGAAACAATAAAGGTCAGTAATAAATCTCAGTAAAAAAAATTATAAATAAATAAGTAAATCTATCACCAGGCCGAATCTGTAGGTGAAATAACCATATCTAGCCAAAGGAGTCCCTTTTTAGCTTAATTTCCCCAAATCTTTGAGCCCGGTCAGTTTCCAGCTTGGTGGTCTCAATGCCTATCTTGAACTGGGACATCTTGAAGCCCGTTTTTTCTCTAGATAACATTGCTGCCCCCTCCCCCCAGCCAGCCAGTCCCAGCCCCTTTCTGGAGACATGTACCTTTGAGATGGTGGATTGGCAGTTTGTCCACAGGAACGGAGGCTGCTAACACGGCAGGTATCAGCACCACTGTGATCCGGGATTGAGCCCCACATTTCTAGTCTCGCCCCCTAATTCTGCCTCAATGGGAACTGTCTCTTTCTTCTGACACATCCAAACGAGGGAGATACTCGCTGTGCCTACACTTCCAATGGTACTGAAAAGTGTGATGTATCACGGGTCCTCGCACATATGACTGTAGCAGCATCTCCAGGGTTGCACGCTCAAGACTTGGGTGCAGGGCGATCGGCTTGGAGTTACGGCAAGTGACAGCAATGGGCAAAACGGCACTTGCTTAATGACCATTAATGGCAGCAGGGACTCGCCCAGGAAGTGCTGGGGTGTCAGCAAAATCAGGATGGCAGCCGCACAATCAGGTTTCACTACATATCCAGGAGAGGATGGGGGACTGGGGCAGAGCGGGAGGGGGTGGGGGACTTGCTACCTAGTGTGCCAGGCTAGTCTGGCCACCGCTGGACCTTGGAACTGGAACCGAGCAGCCGCATGGGCCGAGCAGTCGGGAGCCCACAGCCGGCAGGAGAGGAGAAGAGAGGAGAGGAGCCAGGAGCTGGGCCGGGAGCCGAGGGGTCCCCAGGAGAGGCCTCAGGGGAGCAGAGAGCGCCGAGGCAGCAAGGCGGAGGGAGCGGGTGGCGGAACTGGGGGACGGGGCTGGGTAGAGGGTCTCGGGGGCAGGCAGAAGCTCCTGCTGCTCCAGAGCCTCTCGGGGGGAGCAAGAGAAGGATGACCTAACATCCAGCTGTAAGTAGTCTATTGCTCGCCTGCATTATATATGCCAACGTTAAAAAAACATTCTGTTACAACACACCTCCAGTAACTCAAAAAGCCCTAATACCCCACTTTTCTCCTGCACCCTATATGTTCACAGTTTGAGAAATACATTTATTTAGAACAAACCTTGAGATACTAAAAATGCCCTAATATATTCCTACACTGTATTTTCAATGCATATTTCCACTTTAAAAAAAAGACTAAAACAAATCTTCAATAACTATACTATGTTTGTAATGCATTATATATGTCTACTGCATGTATCATATCTAAAGTATGAAATGAAAAAACAATCCTAAACCCCCCTATATATGCCGATATTTCTCTCCTTAATTATATGTCTCCACTTTTTAAAAAGCTTGTTTGGTTAAAACATAGCTCAAGTGACTTAACAAGCCCTAATAGATAGCTAAACTCTACACCTGTAATGTATTATATATGTCCATTTTGAGTAAAAAAAAACCGGGAAAATGAAACGATGAAAGACCGAGCAAAAACAATACGACACGGAAAAATTAAAGATATCATGCAATACCAGCATGGTTGCTCAAAGAGCCCTCTGAGAAGAAGAGGGACAATTAGGCCATGTAGAAAAAAAATTGAAAGAGGGGCACATAAGTAAAGCAGAATACCAGCGAGTAGACTGAATCTGCAAGGACGGACTCGGAATAGCAAAGGCCTGGAATGGGCAAAGACTGGCAACAAAGGCCAAAAATAATAAAGGAAAATTTTATGTAAGGAACAAGAAGAAAGTCAAGAAAGTCAATAGGTCCACTGATGGGAGCAGAAGGCAGGAAGGAGACAGGCAGCAGGGTGAATTCAGAAATGCTTAACTCCTTTCCATCTCTTTTTCAGCAAAAGAAAAAAAAACAGCCTATCAACAGCAACATCGAGAGAGATAGAATCTATATACGATTCCAAAGAGGCACGAAATTAGTCAAAGAGGACCAATCCACTCTGGATGGGTAGAAATCACGCCGACCCTCCCAGGCTTCCAAAGGAGCTGGCCGACCTAATTTTGGTGTCACCAAACGTCATTTCTGAATGCTCCTGCAGCCCAGGGGAGCTCTCAGAGAACTGGAAAAAGAGCTTGACATCAATTCCTGGGAAAATCCTGGAATAGAGAATCAAGTGGAGGATTTGCGAGCACCTAGAAATAGACATCCACCAGTATCACCTTCAGATGGGTCCTCAGGGGGCTGACCAGCCGCACCCAGTGTTTATTCCTTAATGGAGCTACCGCTACATCTACAAGAAGGGAAGCATTCAGTGGGGTACCTCAGGGATCTGCCTTCGGCCTAGATCTCTTCCACATCTTCATCAATGATCTAGATGAGGGGATAGAAGGGGAACTCATCAAATGTGCAGAGGACATCAAGATTGTTGGAAGATAGGCTCAACATCTAAGAGGATCTTGACAGACCTGAACAGGATGCAGTTCATTGGTGAGAAAAGTACAGTTCTTCCTTAGGCAGGAAAATAAATTGCACAGGCACAGAATGGGCGGTACCTGGCTCAGCAGGGATAATTGTGAGACGGATCTAGAGGAAAACCACTTAAGGATCAGCCAGATGTGTGCTGCAGATGTCAACATAGGCCAAAGCAGTCTTAGGCAGCAATAAAAGAGGGGCAGTTTCAAGATCGCCAGAAGTGCTGGTACCGCATTATATCACACTGGTGGGATAGAAAATGTTGCTGAGACTGCAGAAAGTTTGAAGAGAAGAGCAACAAAGATGATTTAAGAGCTGGAGGCTAAATCGTTTCATGAACGGTTCAGGGAGTTCGCTATGTGTAACCTATCGAAGAGGATAAGGATCGGGCAGACACAACAGCAGTCTTCCACACTGTTAGGGTCTGTCTCAAAGGACAGGGAGTGACTTAAGAACTGCAGAGCAGGAAAAAAGACAAGGGTGGACGTTGAAAGGGAGACCCAACCAAGAAGTCAGGAGAAATTTTGAGACAGTAAGAAGTTGTGAGTGCTCCATCACTGGAAGTTTTCAAAAATGGAGAAGCAAACCATTTGACTGGGATGGCAGAAAGTTCCTGCCTTGAGCAGACGGTTGGAATAGAAGACCTCCAAAGTCCCTTCCAGCCCTATGAATCAATCTCTTATGTTCTACCACCCCTAAGACTACTTGACCACCCACAGGCCACTGACCACCCCCGGCTTCTCCCTTCTGTTGCCACTCTCTTGCCGGCTCTGGAGCAGCAGGAATGTCTGCCTGCCCCCGAGACCCTCAGCCCAGCCCTGTCTTCCAGCTCTGCCACCAGCTCCATCAGCCTTGCGGCCTCCGGGGGTCTCTGCTGCCTCGTGGCGTCTCCTGCGGACCCCTCGGCTCCCAGTTCGGCTTCTAGCTGTTCTCCTCTCTGCTCCTCTCCTGTGGGCTGCTGGGATGCCAGCTGCTCGGCTCATTCAGCCACTCGGTTCTGGGTTCCAGATCCTGTTCTGGCCAGACTTTCTGCTCTGCCCACCGCAGAGCCCTCACCCTGTCCCTGGTGGCCCTCATCCTCAGCTGGAACTCTGAGGCTTGGAGAGGAGCCTGTGGACTCACCCTACCAAGTTCACCTCCAGGCTCCTTTTTGGCTCGGAGCCCTGGGATTCCCCAGCCCTCTCAGGCCCTGATGCTCGGTGGCTGTGAGGTGTTCAGCTCAGCTGACAGCCCTGCAGTGATTGGGAGGGCGAGGATGAAGGTGTTGCTTCAGCTGGTAGGGGGGGGGGCTCGCCTGGCTCCCCGGCACACTAAGTGGCAAGTCAGGGGAAGGGAGGGGAAGGGAAGGGAGTGAAAGGGTAAAAGGCTAGCGTTCCTCCATTCCAGCTATGGGGAGAGAGGGTCAGCGAGTTGTCCCATGTGCTGGTCGCTTAGGAGCGCCAAAACCATTTCTGAAGAAGGCCACTTGGCTGGGGACCTCCCTGTGGAGATCTTCACTGTCTTTCTCGAAACACCTGGTCTGCAGCTGTAATTCTTGCATCGTCATTTTGACATGGTTCAGTCCTTCTCCGTTGTCCTCCTCAGCTTTCCACAGGTCTCCAACAGTGGCCTGGGAAGCATAGCTCTGCGGCGGCTGCTGTTGCTGCTGTAGATTGTTGACTTGCTTCTTTTTTTCCCTCAAATTCTGCTGAAGAGGACTGACTTTCGGCATCAGTTGGCTGGAGTGGCTTTTCTCCACATAGTAACTTTGGTCCGTCTCAACCTGTTCATGCTGCAGACTTTAGAGGTGCTTCTTCAGTTCTTAAGAAGGTTCCAGACTTCTTCGAGACCTCTTCTCAAAGGTTCTAAGGCAGCCTTCTCATATTTGAGAAAGGCCGCTTGGCTGCTGACCTGCAGCGTTCTTTGTGCAGTTCTTCAGTGTGTTTCACCAAATATTTGATCTTTAGCCCTCGCTGAGGGATCATGGTGGTGGCACGCTCCAACCTTTCTCTTTTGTCCAGCAGTTTTCTGCCACTTTTTTGTTGTGCTCTTTAGTTGATCGACCGTCTTCTTGAGGCAAGTGTGCTGCTCTTTCATCCATTGTTTGTCTCTTGAATTCCTGGGTCTGAAGGTCAAAGGCATCTCTTGACTGCTTAACCATCACTGGCCACAGAGAGATAGCCCAGGGATATTCACTTTAGGGCCGTTTCTTCCCTGTTGCTGACCTGTCTGAAGAAATGGAGAGACACAGTCACATCCTCCCTCCGTTCAGGGGCCATTTTGCTAACCGGCCTTAAAGTGGCCCATTTTGGGAAACACGGACATAATGCATCGATCATGACCTCCCTTCTAACTGTCCCAAGTTCCCATTTGATTCTGACTCCTTTTCAAGACAAATCACCTCTCAAAAGAGTGCAAAGGAGTCGGCATCAGCAATCGATCAGTTTGGCCATCTCTGGCCCTACTAGGTTGCTTCTGGTGACCGTAAGAAGCGAATTAGGAAAGAAGCCTCCGCTCCAAGTACTGACCAGGGCCATCCAAGGCACGACAGTCTGCTGGGTGACCTTGAGCCAGTCTCCCTCTCTCAGTCTTAGCCTACCTCACAAGCTTGTTGTTGTAGGGACGAAGGAGTCTTCGGTATGTTCACTGCCTTGAGCTATTTAGGGAAACAATTAAGGTCAGTAATAAATCTCAGTAATAAAAATAATAAATAAATAAGTAAATCTATCACCAGGCCGAGTCTGTAGGTGAAATAACCATATCTAGCCAAAGGAGTCCCTTTTTAGCTTAATTTCCCCAAATCTTTGAGCCCGGTCAGTTTCCAGCTTGGTGGTCTCAATGCCTATCTTGAACTGGGACATCTTGAAGCCCATTTTTTCTCTAGATAACATTGCCCCCCTCCCCCCAGCCAGCCAGTCCCAGCCCCTTTCTGGAGACATGTACCTTTGAGATGGTGGGTTGGCAGTTTGTCCACAGGAACGGAGGCTGCTAACACGGCAGGTATCAGCACCGCTGTGATCCGGGATTGAGCCCCACATTTCTAGTCTCGCCCCCTAATTCTGCCTTAATGGGAACTGTCTCTTTCTTCTGACACATCCAAACGAGGGAGATCCTCGCTGTGCCTACACTTCCAATGGCACTGAAAAGTGTGATGTATCACGGGTCCTCGCACATATGACTGTAGCAGCATCTCCAGGGTTGCACGCTCATGACTTGGGTGCAGGGCGATCGGCTTGGAGTTACGGCAAGTGACAGCAATGGGCAAAACTGCACTTGCTTAATGACCATTAATGGCAGCAGGGACTCGCCCAGGAAGTGCTGGGGTGGCAGAAAAATCAGGATGGCAGCCGCACAATCAGGTTTCACTACATATCCAGGAGAGGATGGGGGACGGGGGCAGAGAGGGAGGGGGTGGGAGACTTGCTACCTAGTGTGCCAGGCTAGTCTGGCCACCGCTGGACCTGGGAACCGGAACCGAGCAGCCGCATGGGCCGAGCAGTCGGGAGCCCACAGCCGGCAGGAGAGGAGAAGAGAGGAGAGGAGCCAGGAGCTGGGCCGGGAGCCGAGGGGTCCCCAGGAGAGGCCTCGGGGGAGCAGAGAGCGCCGAGGCAGCAAGGCGGAGGGAGCGGGTGGCGGAACTGGGGGACGGGGCTGGGTAGAGGGTCTCGGGGGCAGGCAGAAGCTCCTGCTGCTCCAGAGCCTCTCGGGGGGAGCAAGAGAAGGACGACCTAACATCCAGCTGTAAGTACTCTATTGCTCGCCTGCATTATATATGCCAACGTTAAAAAAACATTCTGTTACAACACACCTCCAGTAACTCAAAAAGCCCCAACACCCCACTTTTCTCCTGCACCCTATATGTTCACAATTTGAGAAATACATTTATTTAGAACAAACCTCGAGATACTAAAAATGCCCTAATATATTCCTACACTGTATTTTCAATGCATATGTCCACTTTAAAAAAAAGACTAAAACAAATCTTCAATAACTATACTATGTTTGTAATGCATTATATATGTCTACTGCATGTATCATATCTAAAGTATGAAATGAAAAAACAATCCTAAACCCCCCTATATATGCCGATATTTCTCTCCTTAATTATATGTCTCCACTTTTTAAAAAGCTTGTTTGGTTAAAACATAGCTCAAGTGCCTTAACAAGCCCTAATAGATAGCTAAACTCTACACCTGTAACGTATTATATATGTCCATTTTGATTAAAAGAAACCCGGGAAAATGAAACGATGAAGGACCGAGCAAAAACAATACGACACGGAAAAATTAAAGATATCATGCAATACCAGCATGGTTGCTCAAAGAGCCCTCTGAGAAGAAGAGGGACAATATGGTCAGGTAGAAAAAAAATGGAAAGAGGGGCACATAAGTAAAGCAGAATACCAGCGAGTAGACTGAATTTGCAAGGACCGACTCGGAATAGCAAAGGCCTGGAATGGGCAAAGACTGGCAACAAAGGCCAAAAATAATAAAGGAAAATTTTATGTAAGGAACAAGAAGAAAGTCAAGAAAGTCAATAGGTCCACTAATGGGAGCAGAAGGCAGGAAGGAGACAGGCAGCAGGGTGAATTCAGAAATGCTTAACTCCTTTCCATCTCTTTTTCAGCAAAAGAAAAAAAATCAGCCTATCAACAGCAACATCGAGAGAGATAGAATCTATATACGATTCCAAAGAGGCACGAAATTAGTCAAAGAGGACCAATCCACTCTGGATGGGTAGAAATCATGCCGACCAGATGGTTTGCCTCCCAGGCATCCAAAGGAGCTGGCCGACCTAATTTTGGGGTCACCAAACATCATTTCTGAATACTCCTGCAGCCCAGGGGAGCTCTCAGAGAACTGGAAAAAGAGCTTGACATCAATTCCTGGGAAAATCCTGGAATAGAGAATCAAGTGGAGGATTTGCGAGCACCTAGAAATGGACATCCACCAGTATCACCTTCAGATGGGTCCTCAGGGGGCTGACCAGCCGCACCCAGTGTTTATTCCTTAATGGAGCTACCGGTACATCTACATGGGGCGAAGCATTCAGTGGGGTAGCTCAGGGATCTGCCTTTGGCCTAGATCTCTTCCACATCTTCATCAATGATCTAGATGAGGGGATAGAAGGGGAACTCATCAAATGTGCAGAGGACATCAAGATTGTTGGAAGATAGGCTCAATATCCAGGAGGATCTTGACAGATGTGAACATTGGGCCCATCTAACAAGATGCAGTTCATTGGTGAGAAAAGTACAGTTCTTCTTTAGGCAGGAAAATCAATTGCACAGGCACAGAATGGGCGGTACCTGGCTCAGCAGGGATAACTGTGAGACGGATCTAGAGGAAAACCATTTAAGGATCAGCCAGAAGTGTGCTGCAGGTGTCAACATAGGCCAATGCAGTCTTAGGCAGCAATAAAAGAGGGGCAGTTTCAAGATCGCCAGAAGTGCTGGTACCGCATTACATCACACTGGTGGGATAGAAAATGTTGCTGAGACTGCAGAAAGTTTGAAGAGAAGAGCAACAAAGATGATTTAAGAGCTGGAGGCTAAATCGTTTCATGAACGGTTCAGGGGGTTCGCTATGTGTAACCTATCGAAGATGATAAGGATCGGGCAGACACAACAGCAGTCTTCCACACTGTTAGGGTCTGTCTCAAAGGACAGGGAGTGACTTAAGAACTGCAGAGCAGGAAAAAAGACAAGGGTGGATGTTGAAAGGGAGACCCAACCAAGAAGTCAGGAGAAATTTTGAGACAGTAAGAAGTTGTGAGTGCTCCATCACTGGAAGTTTTCAAAAATGGACAAGCAAACCATTTGACTGGGATGGCAGAAAGTTCCTGCCTTGAGCAGACGGTTGGAGTAGAAGACCTCCAAAGTCCCTTCCAGCCCTATGAATCAATCTCTTATGTTCTACCACCCCTAAGACTACTTGACCACCCACAGGCCACTGACCACCCCCGGCTTCTCCCTTCTGTTGCCACTCTCGTGCAGGCTCTGGAGCAGCAGGAATGTCTGCCTGCCCCCGAGACCCTCAGCCCAGCCCTGTCTTCCAGCTCTGCCACCAGCTCCGTCAGCCTTGCGGCCTCCGGGGGTCTCTGCTGCCTCGTGGCGTCTCCTGTGGACCCCTCGGCTCCCAGTTCGGCTTCTAGCTGTTCTCCTCTCTGCTCCTCTCCTGTGGGCTGCTGGGATGCCAGCTGCTCGGCTCAGTCAGCCACTCGGTTCTGGGTTCCAGATCCTGTTCTGGCCAGACTTTCTGCTCTGCCCACCGCAGAGCCCTCACCCTGTCCCTGGTGGCCCTCATCCTCAGCTGGAACTCTGAGGCTTGGAGAGGAGCCTGTGGACTCACCCTACCAAGTTCACCTCCAGGCTCCTTTTTGGCTCAGAGCCCTGGGATTCCCCAGCCCTCGGAGGCCCTGATGCTCGGTGGCTGTGAGGTGTTCAGCTCAGCTGACAGCCCTGCAGTGATTGGGAGGGCGAGGGTGAAGGTGTTGCTTCAGCTGGTAGGGGGGGGCTCGCCTGGCTCCCCGGCACACTAAGTGGCAAGTCAGGGGAAGGGAGGGGAAGAATTCCTTTTCTTTCTCGAAAGGGTAAAAGGCCACCGTTCCTCCATTCCAGCTATGGGGAGAGAGGGTCAGCGAGTTGTCCCATGTGCTGGTCGCTTAGGAGCGCCAAAACCATTTCTGAAGAAGGCCACTTGGCTGGGGACCTCCCTGTGGAGATCTTCACTGTCTTTCTCGAAACACCTGGTCTGCAGCTGTAATTCTTGCATCGTCATTTTGACATGGTTCAGTCCTTCTCCGTTGTCCTCCTCAGCTTTCCACAGGTCTCCAACTGTGGCCTGGGAAGCATAGCTCTGCGGCGGCTGCTGTTGCTGCTGTAGATTGTTGACTTGCTTCTTCTTATTTTCCCTCACATTCTGCTGAAGAGGACTGACTTTCTGCATCAGTTGGCTGGAGTGGCTTTTCTCCACATAGTAACTTTGGTCCGTCTCAACCTGTAAATGCTGCAGATTTTAGAGGTGCTTCTTCAGTTCTTAAGAAGGTTCCAGACTTCTTCGAGACCTCTTCTCAAAGGTTCTAAGGCAGCCTTCTCATATTTGAGAAAGGCCGCTTGGCTGCTGACCTGCAGCGTTCTTTGTGCAGTTCTTCAGTGTGTTTCACCAAATATTTGATCTTTAGTCCTCGCTGAGGGATCATGGTGGTGGCACGCTCCAACCTTTCTCTTTTTTCCAGCAGTTTTCTGCCACTTTTTTGTTGTGCTCTTTAGTTGATCGACCATCTTCTTGAGGCAACTGTGCTGCTCTTTCATCCGTTGTTTGTCTCTTGAATTCCTGGGTCTGAAGGTCAAAGGCATCTCTTCACTGCTTAACCATCACTGGCTGTTGAGAGATAGCCCAGGGATATTCACTTTAGGGCCGTTTCTTCCCTGTTGCTGACCTGTCTGAAGAAATGGAGAGACACAGTCACATCCTTCCTCCGTTCAGGGGCCATTTTGCTAACCGGCCTTAAAGTGGCCCATTTTGGGAAACACGGATATAATGCATCGATCATGACCTCCCTTCTAACTGTCCCAACTTCCCATTTGATTCTGACTCCTTTTCAAGACAAATCACCTCTCAAAAGAGTGCAAAGATGTCGGTATCAGCAATCGATCAGTTTGGCCATCTCTGGCCCTACTAGGTTGCTTCTGGTGACCGTAAGAGGCAAAATAGGAAAGAAGCCTCCGCTCCAAGTACTGACCAGGGCCATCCAAGGCACGACAGTCTGCTGGGTGACCTTGAGCCAGTCTCCCTCTCTCAGTCTTAGCCTACCTCACAAGCTAGTTGTTGTAGGGACGAAGGAGTCTTCGGTATGTTCATTGCCTTGAGCTATTTAGGGAAACAATTAAGGTTAGTAATAAATCTCAGTAATAAAAATAATAAATAAATAAGTAAATCTATCACCAGGCCGAGTATGTTCGAAATATAACCATATCTAGCCAAAGGAGTCCCTTTTTAGCTTAATTTCCCCAAATCTTTGAGCCCGGTCAGTTTCCAGCTTTGTGGTCTCAATGCCTATTTTGAACTGGGACATCTTGAAGCCCATTTTTTCTCTAGATCACATTGCTGCCCCCTCCCCCCAGCCAGCCAGCCCCAGCCCCTTTCCAGAGACATGTACCTTTGAGATGGTGGATTGGCAGTTGGTCCACAGGAACGGAGGCTGCTAACACGGCAGGTATCAGCACCGCTGTGATCCGGGACTGAGCCCCACATTTCTAGTTTCGCCCCCTAATTCTGCCTTAATGGGAACTGTCTCTTTCTTCTGACACATCCACACGAGGGAGATCCTCGCTGTGCCTACAGTTTCAATGGCACTGAAAAGAGTGATGTATCACGGGTCCTCGCACATATGACTGTAGCAGCATCTCCAGGGTTGCACGCTCATGACTTGGGTGCAGGGCGATCGGCTTGGAGTTACGGCAAGTGACAGCAATGGGCAAAACTGCACTTGCTTAATGACCATTAATGGCAGCAGGGACTCGCCCAGGAAGTGCTGGGGTGGCAGAAAAATCAGGATGGCAGCCGCACAATCAGGTTTCACTACATATCCAGGAGAGGATGGGGGACTGGGGCAGAGAGGGAGGGGGTGGGGGACTTGCTACCTAGTGTGCCAGGCTAGTCTGGCCACCGCTGGACCTTGGAACCGGAACCGAGCAGCCGCATGGGCCGAGCAGTCGGGAGCCCACAGCCTGCAGGAGAGGAGAAGAGAGGAGAGGAGCCAGGAGCTGGGCCGGGAGCCGAGGGGTCCCCAGGAGAGGCCTCGGGGGAGCAGAGAGCGCCGAGGCAGCAAGGCGGAGGGAGCGGGTGGCGGAACTGGGGGACGGGGCTGGGTAGAGGGTCTCGGGGGCAGGCAGAAGCTCCTGCTGCTCCAGAGCCTCTCGGGGGGAGCAAGAGAAGGACGACATCCAGCTGTAAGTACTCTATTGCTCGCCTGCATTATATATGCCAACGTTAAAAAAACATTCTGCTACAACACACCTCCAGTAACTCAAAAAGCCCTAATACCCCACTTTTCTCCTGCACCCTATATGTTCACAATTTGAGAAATACATTTATTTAGAACAAACCTTGAGATACTAAAAATGTCCTAATATATTCCTACACTGTATTTTCAATGCATATGTCCACTTTAAAAAAAAGACTAAAACAAATCTTCAATAACTATACTATTTTTGTAATGCATTATATATGTCTACTGCATATATAATATCTAAGGTATGAAATGAAAAAAAAATCCTAAACCCCCCTATATATGCCGATATTTCTCTCCTTTATTATATGTCTCCACTTTTTAAAAAGCTTGTTTGGTTAAAACATAGCTCAAGTGCCTTAACAAGCCCTAATAGATAGCTAAACTCTACACCTGTAACGTATTATATATGTCCATTTTGATTAAAAGAAAACCCTGGAAAATGAAACGATGAAGGACCGAGCAAAAACAATAAGACACAGATAAATTAAAGATATCATGAGATACCAGAATGGTTGCTCAAAGAGCCCTCTGAGAAGTACAATATGGTCAGGTAGAAAAAAAATGGAAAGAGGGGCACATAAGTAAAGCAGAATACCAGCGAGTAGACTGAATTTGCAAGGACCGACTCGGAATAGCAAAGGCCTGGAATGGGCAAAGACTGGCAACAAAGGCCAAAAATAATAAAGGAAAATTTTATGTAAGGAACAAGAAGAAAGTCAAGAAAGTCAATAGGTCCACTAATGGGAGCAGAAGGCAGGAAGGAGACAGGCAGCAGGGTGAATTCAGAAATGCTTAACTCCTTTCCATCTCTTTTTCAGCAAAAGAAAAAAAAACAGCCTATCAACAGCAACATCGAGAGAGATAGAATCTATATACGATTCCAAATAGGCACGAAATTAGTCAAAGAGGACCAATCCACTCTGGATGGGCAGAAATCACGCCGACCCTCCCAGGCTTCCAAAGGAGCTGGCCGACCTAATTTTGGTGTCACCAAACGTCATTTCTGAATGCTCCTGCAGCCCAGGGGAGCTCTCAGAGAACTGGAAAAAGAGCTTGACATCAATTCCTGGGAAAATCCTGGAATAGAGAATCAAGTGGAGGATTTGCGAGCACCTAGAAATAGACATCCACCAGTATCACCTTCAGATGGGTCCTCAGGGGGCTGACCAGCCGCACCCAGTGTTTATTCCTTAATGGAGCTACCGCTACATCTACAAGAAGGGAAGCATTCAGTGGGGTACCTCAGGGATCTGCCTTCGGCCTAGATCTCTTCCACATCTTCATCAATGATCTAGATGAGGGGATAGAAGGGGAACTCATCAAATGTGCAGAGGACATCAAGATTGTTGGAAGATAGGCTCAACATCTAAGAGGATCTTGACAGACCTGAACAGGATGCAGTTCATTGGTGAGAAAAGTACAGTTCTTCCTTAGGCAGGAAAATCAATTGCACAGGCACAGAATGGGCGGTACCTGGCTCAGCAGGGATAATTGTGAGACGGATCAGGAGGAAAACCACTTAAGGATCAGCCAGATGTGTGCTGCAGATGTCAACATAGGCCAAAGCAGTCTTAGGCAGCAATAAAAGAGGGGCAGTTTCAAGATCGCCAGAAGTGCTGGTACCGCATTATATCACACTGGTGGGATAGAAAATGTTGCTGAGACTGCAGAAAGTTTGAAGAGAAGAGCAACAAAGATGATTTAAGAGCTGGAGGCTAAATCGTTTCATGAACGGTTCAGGGAGTTCGCTATGTGTAACCTATCGAAGAGGATAAGGATCGGGCAGACACAACAGCAGTCTTCCACACTGTTAGGGTCTGTCTCAAAGGACAGGGAGTGACTTAAGAACTGCAGAGCAGGAAAAAAGACAAGGGTGGACGTTGAAAGGGAGACCCAACCAAGAAGTCAGGAGAAATTTTGAGACAGTAAGAAGTTGTGAGTGCTCCATCACTGGAAGTTTTCAAAAATGGAGAAGCAAACCATTTGACTGGGATGGCAGAAAGTTCCTGCCTTGAGCAGACGGTTGGAGTAGAAGACCTCCAAAGTCCCTTCCAGCCCTATGAATCAATCTCTTATGTTCTACCACCCCTAAGACTACTTGACCACCCACAGGCCACTGACCACCCCCGGCTTCTCCCTGCTGTTGCCACTCTCTTGCAGGCTCTGGAGCAGCAGGAATGTCTGCCTGCCCCCGAGACCCTCAGCCCAGCCCTGTCTTCCAGCTCTGCCACCAGCTCCGTCAGCCTTGCGGCCTCCGGGGGTCTCTGCTGCCTCGTGGCGTCTCCTGCGGACCCCTCAGCTCCCAGTTCGGCTTCTAGCTGTTCTCCTCTCTGCTCCTCTCCTGTGGGCTGCTGGGATGCCAGCTGCTCGGCTCATTCAGCCACTCGGTTGTGGGTTCCAGATCCTGTTCTGGCCAGACTTTCTGCTCTGCCCACCGCAGAGCCCTCACCCTGTCCCTGGTGGCCCTCATCCTCAGCTGGAACTCTGAGGCTGGGAGAGGAGCCTGTGGACTCACCCTACCAAGTTCACCTCCAGGCTCCTTTTTGGCTCGGAGCCCTGGGATTCCCCAGCCCTCGGAGGCCCTGATGCTCGGTGGCTGTGAGGTGTTCAGCTCAGCTGACAGCCCTGCAGTGATTGGGAGGGCGAGGGTGAAGGTGTTGCTTCAGCTGGTAGGGGGGGGGGCTCGCCTGGCTCCCCGGCACACTAAGTGGCAAGTCAGGGGAAGGGAGGGGAAGGGAGTGAAAGGGTAAAAGGCTAGCGTTCCTCCATTCCAGCTATGGGGAGAGAGGGTCAGCGAGTTGTCCCATGTGCTGGTCGCTTAGGAGCGCCAAAACCATTTCTGAAGAAGGCCACTTGGCTGGGGACCTCCCTGTGGAGATCTTCACTGTCTTTCTCGAAACACCTGGTCTGCAGCTGTAATTCTTGCATCGTCATTTTGACATGGTTCAGTCCTTCTCCGTTGTCCTCCTCGGCTTTCCACAGGTCTCCAACAGTGGCCTGGGAAGCATAGCTCTGCGGCGGCTGCTGTTGCTGCTGTAGATTGTTGACGTGCTTCTTCTTATTTTCCCTCACATTCTGCTGAAGAGGACTGACTTTCTGCATCAGTTGGCTGGAGTGGCTTTTCTCCGCATAGTAACTTTGGTCCGTCTCAACCTATTCATGCTGCAGACTTTAGAGGTGCTTCTTAAGTTCTTAAGAAGGTTCCAGATTTCTTCGAGACCTCTTCTCAAAGGTTCTAAGGCAGCCTTCTCATATTTGAGAAAGGCCGCTTGGCTGCTGACCTGCACCGTTCTTTGTGCAGTTCTTCAGTGTGTTTCACCAAATATTTGATCTTTAGCCCTCGCTGAGGGATCATGGTGGTGGCACGCTCCAACCTTTCTCTTTTGTCCAGCAGTTTTCTGCCACTTTGTTGTTGTGCTCTTTAGTTGATCGACCATCTTCTTGAGGCAAGTGTGCTGCTCTTTCATCCATTGTTTGTCTCTTGAATTCCTGGGTCTGAAGGTCAAAGGCATCTCTCGGCTGCTTAACCTGGAGATGGAGACCATCACTGGCCGTTGAGAGATAGCCCAGGGATATTCACTTTAGGACCGTTTCTTCCCTGTTGCTGACCTGTCTGAAGAAATGGAGAGACACAGTCACATCCTCCCTCCGTTCAGGGGCCATTTTGCTAACCGGCCTTAAAGTGGCCCATTTTGGGAAACACGGACATAATGCATCGATCATGACCTCCCTTCTAACTGTCCCAAGTTCCCATTTGATTCTGACTCCTGTTCAAGTCAAATCACCTCTCAAAAGAGTGCAAAGGAGTCGGCATCAGCAATCGATCAGTTTGGCCATCTCTGGCCCTGCTAGGTTGCTTCTAGTGACCGTAGGAGGCGAATTAGGAAAGAAGCCTCCGCTCCAAGTACTGACCAGGGCCATCCAAGGCACGACAGTCTGCTGGGTGACCTTGAGCCAGTCTCCCTCTCTCAGTCTTAGCCTACCTCACAAGCTTGTTGTTATAGGGACGAAGGAGTCTTCAGCATGTTCATTGCCTTGAGCTATTAAGGGAAACAATAAAGGTCAGTAATAAATCTCAGTAATAAAAATAATAAATAAATATAGATAAATCTATCACCAGGCCGAGTGTGTTCGGGAAATAACCATATCTAGCCAAAGGAGTCCCT